AAGGATCTCCACCAATTCGTTTAACCCTCTTCTTTGCATGTGAAGCTCCAGATTCGGACTCCAGGAGCGTTCGCTGCATGTCTCTCTCTTTCTGTAAATACTGCATGCAATTCCTCAAAGAATGGGCACTGCCGGCCGTTATCTGGATTAGCTGTCTCCTTCCCCTGAGCTTCGAGTAAAATACACCCCCTGAGCTTCGATTAAAATACGAATCGCCTCCTATGGTTTTGAAAATTACATTCCACCCCTTGACATTTCTAATTTCGTAACAAATCGCCCATTTTATTAATAAATTATCAAGTTAATTAATAATTTTTAATTATGTTAAATATTTATTTCAATTAATAATTCAGTTAATTTTATTATTGTATATGAGAACAATTAGAAAATTTTATTTTTTAGTTAATTCTGTTAAATAAAAAATTCTAATAAAGGGGTATTTGTTATTTTTCAAACCACATGAGGCAATCTGTATTTTAAGCAAATCTCAGGGGGTGTATTTGTAATTTACCCTTTAATCTATTATTTTTGCTGACATTAGTTTTGGGGTTACAACATGGGTTTAAATGTTCATAATCAGGTTGTGGCCTTAACCTCTCAAGCGGCACGTTATAGGATGGAAAATTGGAATGGGTTTCTATACTCATGGCTTCTTGGCATTATCTGTGTTTGGGTAATTAGAATTCAAATTTAAAATTGGGCTTCATACATTTGTAGTGTCCAGACTAATCTTTTGACTGGATATGTATTTAAACACTATTTTCCAATCCTTTGGTTTGATTATTTGTCTTTTAAAGGGTCCAAAACTGTAAATAGAATATTACATTTCATGTGTACATATGATTAAAATTAGTTATGTTCACTATTATGCATCTTCTTCCTTAGGTGCCTTATAGCTACAAAATGTTGAGTTTGGATATGTATTTTTTAAACACTTTATTTACTTAGAGAATGTTAACTGGATAAGTATTTAAACACCGTTTTCCAATCCTTCGATTTTTTGTGCTGTCTTTTTTTATTTATTTATTTATTTTAATTGATAGCAGGGCATTGGTGGATGTGCTATTGAATTTATTTGTGCTGCTTTTTTTATTTATTTGTTTATTTTAATTGATAGCAAGGCACTGGCAGGTGTGTTATTTTATTTATTTGTGCTGTCTTATTTATTTATTTATTTATTTTAATTGATAGCAGGGCATTGGTGGATGTGCTATTGAATTTATTTGTGCTGTCTTTTTTATTTATTTGTTTATTTTAATTGATAGCAGGGCATTGGCACGTGTGCTTTTATTTTGTTTGTTTATTTTAATTGATAGTAGGATATTTGCGGGTGTACTGTCTTTTTTTTAGAGGGAGATGATGTCACAAGAGAAAGATTGAATTCATTTTTGGTTGAACTCAAATTTGTTGAATGACATGTAAATGTCTGGAAATTCTGAACTGATACTTTTGCTTCCCACCCACGACAAAAATAAACATAATTTTGAGGGACTAGAGAAATGTACATGTTTGAAAAGAAAGAACTCTAGGGCAAATACATCACAAGAGAGTCTGGTTCAAGTAAATTCATTAATTTTGCCAATAGTTGATGGCTTACATTTGTGATTAGGATTTTTTTTGTGAGGTTAATCAATCCATATTTATTTATTATAATTTCAGTTGGTGCATATGCAGGTGGGCTTTCACCTTCATGCCTGCACGTTTGCAGTAGCATGAAGTCAAGAGAGGGAGACGTTAATAAGAGAACTTGGTTAGTTAGCAAATCTCCATGCTTGAATTGGGGTATGTTTAGTGTGTTTAGAAGATGATGGGGATGCCATCACTATGTTTAATAATCTTTTCCCCCCTGAATGTTTCTTCTAGAGCACATCATGTATCCCAAAGTTCACATTGCACTAAGAATGTTAGGTCATCTTCGACTGGGCGTTGTTCGGATATATTCAAAGAAAGTCAACTATCTGTACCAAGACTACAATTTTTTTCTGATAACCATGAGAAAAGCATTTGCTTCTGTAGAAGTTAATCTGCCAGAAGATGCAACTCATGCACCTTTTGACTCTGTCACTTTGCCAAAACGTTCAAACTTGATGCCTTGAATTTGGATGATGACTTCTCTTATGACGGGTAATTTTCTGGCTACGTATTGCACTTCCGCCTTTCTTTGAATCTATAGATAACACTCGATTTTTAATTCTCAGGGCTCGAGATAATCATCTCTGGAGCGAGGTGGAGATAGCACTTACATGTGGTAGTATTTCACGTGCTTCCTTGAATTCGTATTTTGTAAATTATTGCACTCTAGTTTATGATTTTTTTAGTTCAATAACACTTACTGGTGGTAGCATTACATGTGCTTCTATGTATTCATATTTTGATTTGATAGTTCAAATGGTAACTGATTGAACTGGAATTATCATATTGTAGATCAAATTTTGATTTGAAGAGACTTGTACATTACCGTTACTTTCTATTGCACTTGAATTATTTGGTTAGTAGTTAATAACCTCTACACTTCGTGATAAAAAGGTGTTGAATCCTTGGTAGGCAAAACAAAAAGAGGACAATCAGTTAAATTTTCATTATGATGAAATAAAAGTTACCAACTATTGTTGATTGCTATCTCTATTAAAAGGTTTCCATTGATTGTTCGTCAATCATAACCTTGGTTTCCTTCTATTTGCTCAAAAATGCTCTTCATTTACTGGTTTATTAATCTGATATTTGAAATGGTTTTGTACAATCTCTAATGAAAGAATTATTTTTGTTGGTTGGCATGTAAATATTTGATTTAAATGTAGTGATTAACACTGGTTGAAATTTATGGTTCAGGGAGCAATAATGGGACCGCTGATAATTACTGTTGTCATTGCTCTCAAGGATTTGTATGCTGAATTTGTTTTGGATGAACAGAAGAAGAGTGAGACGTAGAGCGCTGCTGGGCATGCTTATAGTGCTTGCTTCCTGAGAAATGTTCATCGCTGCCTCAAAAACGCGTGTACATTATTGGTTGAGCTAATTAGAACCCAAAAAAGAAATATCAGAATTGTTTGTTTTAGAGTGGATGTGTTTTTACCAATCTGTTGACAGTACATTTATCAAGTTTTGTTAGTTGCATTTTCTCTTTAGGACAGTCTTTTTGTTTTTGTTTTTGTTTTTTTTTTCTTCTATTTATGGTGTGAGCATGGTGTAAAAAGTAATCGATCAATCATGTACTCCCTTGGTTGTTGGTTGTGTGCTCTTAAAAGAATTTTGTACAATTTCAATATATTTAATATATTTGTTGATGTAGAAAGCTTATTTGATCCCCTTTTTTTTTGTGGTAATTTGGATAAAAAAAGGTTGGTATGTTTTTTGGGTTTACTTTTTTAAAATTATATCGAAATGTTTACTTTTTTTAAAATTATATAAAAAAAATATTTACTTTTTAAATCTATCTTGACTATACAATTTTAAAAAAAAAATACTAAAAGCAAAAATAAGTCTATTTTTTAAACTCTCTTTTGACAACAATTGACTTGTGAATCTTTTAAAAATGTTAAATAACTAAAGATAAGGATAAGTCTAACTGAAAAAGCAATTACTATTTTTTAATCTCAACCAACATGATCCTACAAAAAAATCTATTAAAAAAGAAATGAAAAAGAAAGCAAGAGGTAAAACCAACTTTTTAACCAACGATGTTCCAAAAGGTGGAACTCAATAGAGAGAATAAAGCAATTATTTTCCAATTTCACACAACGAAACAACATTTAGCTATGGAATCTCATCACACAACAACTATTCACCAACAAAAATGGTTGCTTTGCACCAAGGTAGAACACAGACATCAATCAATCAATTCTCGACAATTTCATGGAATGTTAACATATTACAATGGAATCTCAATTTCTTAAATCGTTTTCTTCACCTAATTCATACTTGCACAATCAAACTCTTTCTTAATAGTGAGCGCTACTAGATCTGATTCAATTCAACTGAACATGAAACTTAAAAGATGGCAAGTTCCTTCTTTATCTGTTCAAGTTCAAGCAAAAGAGCTTCTGTGTCATCCTCATCATCTTCATCATCGTCATCGTCACTAAACACAAAATAATGACACTTTCGTAATAACAAAATTCAAATAGTACATTTACACGTCAGTAATAACAAAATCAAGTGTTAGAAAAAACATTCAATTATATTCACATGCACATTTGCATATTGTCTTCAAGATTATACTTTAAAAACATTTCATCCTTTATAGTAACTGATTTGAAAAAAACGGAGCAGGTCTATCAAGTATAAATCGACAATCACACCACAAGTTGACAAATCAGGCCATTGGTATAAGCTTTTTGTTAACATATGAATTAATTCAGGTAAGTTTGCAATGAGTGACAACCTTCCATCACTGCTCTTAAGTTCCACATCAGCATCATCAGCATCATCAGCATCTACACTGCGTGGAATGAGGCGATCTTCAGCATCTCTCCTTGCCCCTGTAAAATAAGTAGGAAATCAGTTGAATAATTATGTATGCATAGCTAGTGTTTTTGGTACACAAAGCATGGAAGGTAGTACTCACCTTCCAATAGAAGGTGGCCTCCTTTTCTACGATCTCTATCGTCTGCACCCATAAATAATTTGATACAAAACAATTAGAAAATACTGTCCAACAACAAAACAACAACAATAGTAAAGGAAGAAACATATAGCAAAAAAGGTTGTCAAAAGCTTCTCTACCACTATAGGACTTATCCTTCAACAAGAAATGCCACCGTTCCCGCTCCTCCAACTCATCACGGAGATTCCTCTTCTGCAATTCCTCTTTAGTGTCTTGCCCATCCTTTCTGCAACAAATATTCCAATCAGTGAACAGTTTCTGTAGACAATAGAAAGTGGCCTCCTTTTCTACGATCTCTATCGTCTGCACCCATAAATAATTTGATACAAAACAATTAGAAAATACTGTCCAACAACAAAACAACAACAATAGTAAAGGAAGAAACATATAGCAAAAAAGGTTGTCAAAAGCTTCTCTACCACTATAGGACTTATCCTTCAACAAGAAATGCCACCGTTCCCGCTCCTCCAACTCATCACGGAGATTCCTCTTCTGCAATTCCTCTTTAGTGTCTTGCCCATCCTTTCTGCAACAAATATTCCAATCAGTGAACAGTTTCTGTAGATAGGCGTTAGAAAGAAAAATAGCTGCATGCATATGCAGATGACATAGAAGTATTACCATGGCCGCATAAATGAAGAATTAAAAAAAGAAAAAATAAACAAGAACGGATAGACTTGGTTTGAAGTACTACCAGAACCCAAACAAAAAAAATCACGACGCCTGGTATTTGAAATAGAGGGGCTCCCCATACCCCACATCAGTTGTCCACCACAATATTTTTGAAACTCTTGCAAATTCAATTTTAGAACACCCCCAGCTCCAGTTGTGTGTTCGTCTTTTGTGCTGGGAAACTAAACATGTGGCCCTTATATTCAAATATGTTTATCACTTCACTAAAAAATGTTTGCCAAATAATTATTTTCACAATCCCCCTGTTGGCAGAGAAAGGGACAAGGGGCGGAAATTGTAAAGAACTAGAAAGAAATTAAAGCCAAATTTCTTAGTTAAGTCCCATCCCTAAGTATCATGATTGGGTTGACAAGGCAAGACCATCACCGTCTTTATCAGCACATGGTTATTAAGCTTTCTTATTGTAGAAACTATCCTCAAATTTCAACTTCTCCTAAACAGAGATGTCATTGATTTGAACCTTTTGAGGGCATTCCCTCACTACAAGTGAAAATTTCAACTTCTAAGCAGAGGTGTCATTGATCTGAGTCTTTTGAGTGCATTTCCTCACAATGAGTGAAATTGCTTCAGTGCACCTACTGTTTATGACGTTTCAAATTGAAAGACTCAGATTTCATTTTATACATTATATACTAAAACTTAGCCATTTTATCAAGTATAAATTGTAATTCTTGTTTCCAAATATTTGAAATATGAAGTTCTTGGTAGGGGTTGTCAAAATCCTTAAAATCATAAAGGCTTAACTTGCGTGACAATAGGGGACTCAAATCTCAAATTGCATCTTAACGATTGGAGATCATTACCTCAGACCATATAATTGCTTTTACTAGATAGTATCCACCTTAATGGTTTTCCAGAATATTCATTTTATGCAATCAAACCCTAAAGAAAATTATAAACCTTAAAATGTGGAAATTGCAGAAGTTCCAACCTGGGCTTTAGGGTTGTGTGAGAGGCAATGTCCTTTGAAGAGTATTTTTGGGAGGGGCTGAAAATTTGAGTACCACCTTGTTCATTACCACCTTTTGCAGGTGCCCATGTAGGTCGAGCTACAGTTGTCATGTTTTGTAACAATCCTCACGAGTCCGGATATCTGTAAAAGTCAAAGCAGCTATTTAAAATCCGATTAAAGAATACCTCTACAAGCAACAAGAAAGGCAAAACGTAAGACACCAAAGCAGTATCAAGAGCAACAGTAAAGCACACAACCTCATTCGATGACTCTATGCAATCTAATATTTCTATCAAGCATAAGATCTATTACAAGGTGCTAAATCTATCACACCCAACAAGTTCCTGCCCCTCTCTCCTTTTCAATGAAAGAATAAATCTATATCTATATCTATTCTACTATAAAATGTCTTTAGAAGGGTAAAACATTTTTAGGACAGGATCATCGCTACTATGGTAAATAATGGTCATAGCATTTTGCAACTCACAACTTTAAAAACCTTTTCTAGACACTTAAAAATCTAAGCATTTTTTTATTATAAAAAAATTATTGATATGGTCAAAACCTGCAATCCCACATAGTTAACATTACAAATTTTTGCACAGAAATATTCAAAACATGTGATATGGCCACCAAGTACAATCCTACTATGTTACCTTTATGTAGAGAACTCATTGAGGCATTTCATCAAACAAGAAACAAACATGTTTCTTGTTGAAACAATATATCCAAACAATGAATCTAGTTCGTAAATAATGACTGTTCATGTTTCTGTTTGTTGTTGAATAAAGATTTCAAGTTATATCTTCATTTAACTGTTTTAAGTAAAAATTCTCCATACCAAGATCTGAAAATATTGCCATAATCAAAATAGTCTAGAGGTGGCAAATGGGCGTGCTTGGGCAAGTTGAAATGGGTAATGGATCAAAAGAGTGTTAGCCCAAAATCATCCATTTAGATAGCGGGTTGGATATGGGTGGGTCGGATACGGTCACTCTTTGGTTCAACTCAAGACACAAGCAATGGAATTTATGTTCTCATTCTTCCTCTAAACCTATGTGTTTAGCTTGCTTAAAATCATAAATCAAATGGCATGTAATGGCCTTGTTTGATAACTTTTTTTAATAGTCTTTTCCCCCCTGAATGTTTCTTCTAGAGCACATCATGTATCCCAAAGTTCACATTGCACTAAGAATGTTAGGTCATCTTCGACTGGGCGTTGTTCGGATATATTCAAAGAAAGTCAACTATCTGTACCAAGACTACAATTTTTTTCTGATAACCATGAGAAAAGCATTTGCTTCTGTAGAAGTTAATCTGCCAGAAGATGCAACTCATGCACCTTTTGACTCTGTCACTTTGCCAAAACGTTCAAACTTGATGCCTTGAATTTGGATGATGACTTCTCTTATGACGGGTAATTTTCTGGCTACGTATTGCACTTCCGCCTTTCTTTGAATCTATAGATAACACTCGATTTTTAATTCTCAGGGCTTGAGATAATCATCTCCAGAGCGAGGTGGAGATAGCACTTACATGTGGTAGTATTTCATGTGCTTCCTTGAATTCATATTTTGTAAATTATTGCACTCTAGTTTATGATTTTTTTAGTTCAATAACACTTACTGGTGGTAGCATTACATATGCTTCTATGTATTCATATTTTGATTTGATAGTTCAAATGGTAACTGATTGAACTGGAATTATCATATTGTAGATCAAATTTTGATTTGAAGAGACTTGTACATTACCGTTACTTTCTATTGCACTTGAATTATTTGGTTAGTAGTTAATAACCTCTACACTTCGTGATAAAAAGGTGTTGAATCCTTGGTAGGCAAAACAAAAAGAGGACAGTCAGTTAAATTTTCATTGTGATGAAATAAAAGTTACCAACTATTGTTGATTGCTATCTCTATTAAAAGGTTTCCATTGATTGTTCGTCAATGATAACCTTGGTTTCCTTCTATTTGCTCAAAAATGCTCTTCATTTACTGGTTTATTAATCTGATATTTGAAATGGTTTTTATACAATCTCTAATGAGTGAATTTTTTTAGTTGGGTAGCATGTAATATTTGATTTAAATGTTGTGATTAAAAGGTATTCAGCACTGTTTGTAAGTTAAATTATAACTTTGGTTTGGTTTCCTTGTATTTGCTCATAAATACTATTCATTTACTGGTTTATTAATCTGATATTTGAAATGGTTTTGTACAATCTCTAATGAAAGAATTATTTTTGTTGGTTGGCATGTAAATATTTGATTTAAATGTAGTGATTAACACTGGTTGAAATTTATGGTTCAGGGAGCAATAATGGGATCGCTGATAACTACTGTTGTCATTGCTCTCAAGGATTTGTATGCTGAATTTGTTTTGGATGAACTGAAGAAGAGTGAGACGTAGAGCGCTGCTGGGCATGCTTTTAGTGCTTGTTTCCTGAGAAATGTTCATCACTGCCTCAAAAACGCGTGTACATTATTGGTTGAGCTAATTAGAACCCAAAAAAGAAATATCAGAATTGTTTGTTTTAGAGTGGATGTGTTTTTACCAATCTGTTGACAGTGCATTTATCAAGTTTTGTTGGCTGCATTTTCTCTTTAGGACAGTCTTTTTGTTTTTGTTTTTGTTTTTTTTTCTTCTATTTGGTGTAAAAAGTAATAGATCAATCATGTACTCCCTTGGTTGTTGGTTGTGTGCTCAAAGAATTTTGTACAATTTCGATATATTTAATATGTTTGTTGATGTAGAAAGCTTATTTGATCCCTTTTTTTTTTTTTGGTAATTTGGATAAAAAAAGGTTGGTATGTTTTTTGGGTTTACTTTTTTAAAATTATATCGAAATGTTTACTTTTTTTAAAATTATATAAAAAAAATATTTACTTTTTAAATCTATCTTGACTATACAATTTTAAAAAAAAAATACTAAAAGCAAAAATAAGTCCATTTTTTAAACTCTCTTTTGACAACAATTGACTTGTGAATCTTTTAAAAATGTTAAATAACTAAAGATAAGGATAAGTCTAACTGAAAAAGCAACTACTATTTTTTAATCTCAACCAACATGATCCTACAAAAAAATCTATTAAAAAAGAAATGAAAAAGAAAGCAAGAGGTAAAACCAACTTTTTAACCAACGATGTTCCAAAAGGTGAAACTCAATAGAGAGAATAAAGCAATTATTTTCCAATTTCACATAACGAAACAACATTTAGCTATGGAATCTCATCACACAACAACTATTCACCAACAAAAATGATTGCTTTGCACCAAGGTAGAACACAGACATCAATCAATCAATTCTCGACAATTTCATGGAATGTTAACATATTACAATGGAATCTCAATTTCTTAAATCGTTTTCTTCACCTAATTCATACTTGCACGATCAAACTCTTTCTTAATAGTGAGCGCTACTAGATCTGATTCAATTCAACTGAACATGAAACTTAAAAGATGGCAAGTTCCTTCTTTATCTGTTCAAGTTCAAGCAAAAGAGCTTCTGTGTCATCCTCATCATCTTCATCATCGTCATCGTCACTAAACACAAAATAATGACACTTTCGTAATAACAAAATTCAAATAGTACATTTACACGTCAGTAATAACAAAATCAAGTGTTAGAAAAAACATTCAACTATATTCACATGCACATTTTGTAACGCCCTCAAAATAATAACATTAAACCCATCAGATAAGACATGCATTTACATATAAACTAACCACATTCCTTTATTATATTGAGTTTCATTACATAAGTATTACATGTTAACATCAAAACAAAATGCCCTACGGGCTTACAGCTTTCCAAGTTAACGCTTGGTTACAACAAAGAGTACTAACTCGTTTACACATTAAACCCTTGGCTTGAAGTTACATGTAATACATCAAAAAAGAAAATAAAAAATAAGACAACAAAAGTGTGTCCGCCTCT